AGGGCTTAGATGAGTTTTAGTATATGTTATATGTTTATTTTCATTTGTTTTTCCCCTTTATACTATATTTTAAGTTATTTTGTAGCTTACGTTCGGCTAATGACTTGTTATTGTTGTAGCGGAATTTAATTAAATAAATAAATAAAAAAATAATTACCATTAACAGAATGAAAGACCTGCTTGGACGGGCGTTAAGTCGTCGCTCGAAACAGGGAAAACTCTCTATAAGAAAAAATGCCTGACGAATATTGCCGGGGATGAACCACTTTCCGGGGAAGTGCTGCTAAGATTTCCTTGAAAGTTTTTTAGCAAAAAGATTGCTTCAGTGTGGCTTTAAACTAAATCCGGCCTTCCCTTCTCGTTAATATTGCGCTCGGCACATTGATTTATTACCGCTTCCAATTTCATAAACTTTTCATTGCTTCCGAATCATCTCTAGCCTTTTATTTTATTTCGATCTCCATAGCGAAATCATAATTTTTAATCCGAACAAAGCGGCTCTTAATCTCTAAACTACGTTCGTCGTAAACTTTTAAAACTAAATTCTGATTTCTCGAAATAGTTCGTTATAAGACGAATAATTTTAAGAACAAAAATACTAGAATTTGACGCTATTACTCTTATGTTTTCTATATATGTATCGACTATATATATTCTATTCCCGCTTTTGTGAAATTTGACAAAGGTACACAGGGACACCGCCATCCCTGGAAAATTTGATAACAACTTATTTATACGTCTGGTAAAATTACTACTTTTTCTTTGCCTTAATTATTGACCCCATAATGTCTTTATAGTATACAAGTCCGCACAAAGCCCTTTGCGGATTTAATTTTCGTATAGTGGTTTGCTTAGTATCTCATAGTGAACTTTAAGGTACACATTAGGAAATCGGTCAATTAAGTCAATTGCAAATTTTTTAGAGCGCGTTTAATATATTAAAGTTGATGCATTTGTTTCAGAACAGCTTGAAATCAAAAGTGATGTCGAAAATAGTTAAAACAATTTTTCAGTGCTAGTGAAACTGCAAGGAATCACGCTTGAAACACCTAAGAATTAAGTCTACCTTCCTATATGTGAATATATATGGAAAGAGAATATTCTTTTTTTTTTTGAAAATAGGATAAAATCGAATGCCACGCCTATAAAAATTGTATAAAACTATTCAGGAGACGGACAAGGGGAGATGAATTTATATTTTTGATACATTTATATAAAAAAGATTATATATTACATTTCAACCACATGTGATCGTCATCGTCATCTCCTTCTGTCAACAGCAGACATTTTGTAGGCGAGAGCTACTGCTATGCAAGCTACGATAGTTTTTCGAGAAGTTCATGCGTAATCTACGCGAATCTACCCTACTTCAAATGTGTAGTAAGTATATCATTGAATCAAACCCTTGGAGAAAATTTAATAACTGCACGTTTCATATTATGTGGCGTAATACAAATTCGTTCTTAAAAACGTTCTTTAGAACTTCTTTATGTTTTTTTAATGTGAACCAATCAATCACTCAAGTAATGCCCCTTTTTCTTGTAGTAAGAAAGAAGTGATCACAGAGAAAGAGATAAGGAGCGGCCGCCGCCTACTTTGGATGAGCTCAACCGATAAGTGTAGAAAGACGCTCGGAGCTCTCAGAGGCGCAAAGAAATTTTAAAAGGCAAACAAAGTCCTTATCTAAATCGGAAAACATTTATATTCTTCTTGCTCTTAAGTAAATCAATAAATAACAAAATTACTGAAATTATTTTCAACTTGAAATTTTGCTTTAAAATTCAATCTGTAGTTTATTCTATTTAATCGAATTGACAATATTTTTATTGTAGCTAAAGAAACGACTCGTTGTTTCATTTATTAAATGCTCTAGTATATAAAGCATAAAAAACAAGATCTGTCATCATTCATCAGCAAGAGAAATGCGATGCCATCAACTAACTATTAAATGTTGTCATATTTGAGACATACTGTGCTTTGGATGCATATTGTAGTCAGTAGATGACATTTTTAACGTTACTCTAACGTCTGTTAGCGCGGTTAGGACGCATAGAGTTGAACCCATAAGTACAACAAATATTTTAGAGACAACGTTAATGATTCTGTAAAGCTAATAAATGAACAAAAGCGAAAGAAAACAAAAGCTTGCAATAAAAAAAAAAGAAAGAAAAACTAGCTAGCGCGTTATGCCACGTAAAGGCGAACATTAAACATCCTGCGTCATTTGTAAAGACAATTTGAAAATACATCGCTAAGCGGAAATAATTCGGAAAAGATCCAATCCAAATTATTTTCAACACGATTAATACTTGAGTCAAATCATGCCGGTATACCAGGTTTTATCAAACTATTTCACAAAATTACTACCTGTACGAGGAAAACGTCGTACGGACGGACAGTCTTAAATTGATACAAAGATCATTTTGAAGAGATCCATATAATAAAAGGACGATCTATGCCAAGTAGTTCGTAGTGTTGTATACATTAACATGAGCCCAATATACCCTTACCACACCATGCGTAGGGTATAATTAACTAAGCAACGAAAATACCCCCAGCTTTACCTTTCAACGAAAATTTCTTTTGCCGAAACGGTGAAGAAGACTCGCGGCGAGTAACGTTTATTGCAAACACAGGCACACAATATTCAAAAAAAAAACCTGGCGGGGAGTGGCTAGAATTCGCTAAAGAAACTGAAAGCCGTAATTTAATACACTCTGTGCTACAAAAAGGACGAAAATATTGTAGTTGGCCTGGACCGAAAATTTGGGTACCCATTTTGATGGTTCTAACCGTGACGACCTCTGCTTAATCCCAAAATATCACTTCCTTCACTTTTCACTAATGTTGGCGGGTCAGAAGAAAACGGATGGACATTTTTATTTCAGTAATGTTTTCGAAGAGCTGAATTTGAAATTTTCATCTGATCAGTGAAAGAAGAAGAGAGTTGATGATGTTAGAACGATTTGGATGAGCTTCGCACGGAATAGGATGACATATAGGACCATCTGCCAACTGCCTATAAGAGTTGAACCTACTGCGAATTACCATGGATTCAAAATTCAACTACAGAATGGCCGCTTCTTGGTCAGCCGATGCTTGACAACGTAGAAACGCAATGAAGTGATTATGTTGTTTTAAACAAATACAGCCCAAATTGTTACGGGCTTGGACATTTTTAAACCAGGGTAATTGATGCAATTTCAACCAAGGATCGTGAAATTGACAACAAATAAGAATGCTTTAGTCGGGCAAGAACGAAGTTAAGACACCCTACACCACTTCGCTTAAGTAGCACCAAACATTTTACCTTTTTTTTGTGTACGTATGTAATTCTCATGGAAGACCTCATATTGCGGGATACGCAAATGCCAACATGATGCAAATTTAGCAAATTTGCAAAAGAATTTATTATTTTCCAATTGCTTTCGTCAGAGCAAACCGAAAATTAGGCTTTGTCGCCATAGAAGGATTTGTTTTCATACGAGTCCCTATATATGGATAGATCTCTGCGATCCCAATTCCTCCTAGTTGATTTACTAAGGAGAAATTTTCATCATAAAATATTAAAAATTATGCCGTTTTGGCATATAAAGGCGGATGGTTCATTACACTTTTATGTGTTGTGAGCCCAATTGTATAGTTGAAGAGATTAAAAACATTGCCCCATCCGATCCAAAGTTTTTGCACCAATTTAGAATGCCGAAATACTATTACTAACAACACTCTCAAAATTACAATATCTTTTCGTATAACAAATCATGAAAATAAAACGTTATATGGGGAGTGTACGAAAAAGTAGCTCGATCCAAACAATTTTCAATAGCGTTCGCCCGACCAAACATACACATCAGTGTATCAAATTTTATGAAAATATCTCGAAAATTGCAACCTGTACGTTGAACACAAGTATACACGGATGAACAAGCGTCCAATAAACGATGGGTTTATCTCAAGCCCTTCTTGCCGTTACTACCGTCCGTACAAGTTTAATATACCATGTACTGCAAGTGTTGTAGGGAACAGCGTGTGAATGAGACAATATATCAAAAATAGTGAAAAAAAGCACAATAAACAAACCCAACGGATTGTGAAGGTTTTATTTCTCAGCATTACTGTTTGCGAGAAAAACGATAATAACAACAGCAGCAACAACAATAAGAAACCTACTTTGCATTAATGAATTCGTGGTCGTGGTTATGGTCAAGCGCAAACTTGTATTATTAGTTCATGGTGCTTGCATTTCCTTTAAAAAGCGTACGGAACTAAACGATTGTTATTTGTTAGCAGCTTTAAGCTAATAAACAACTGTGGCGTATGATAAATATATAAATAAAATTTCATTCATACGCATTGTTTCACTACTAAAACAAAAAAAAAAATAAATAAAAAGATAATATAAACGACGGATTGTCGTCTATTATGTATGTATTGTACATGCTCTCCTTTTTCTCTTTTAGGTAATTACAATATTTCTCTCTGAGTGAGTGGTTGCAGCGACGCTATATATATATATATATATATATATATATATATATTTACATATGTAGTAGGATAAGAAAACTTTTAACAGCTTTTCTTGTTTTTTGGACATATACACAATTTTATTTTATTTATTTATTTATTTGTTTTTTTTTTTTTTTTTTTCTGTGTGCTTCTTGTTTTCACCTTTGCCACTACGAACTTAACCACAAAAGTTTAAGTACACAAACCTGCACTTTTTTTTTTTTCCTTTAATATATATACACACACGCGTTCTTTTAAGATAGGGTTCTCTTGGGTCAGGTGTGCGTTTGAGTTTATTTAATTAA